AGTAATGGCCCCCATTTATTTACTCCTTTTCAACTCTCAACTCAGTGCACTTGTGAAGGTTTTGTACGATTAAAAGAGTGAATAATCAACTCATCCACTCAGAGTGAACATAAGTTTTAGTCAGCCATTAGGACACTTTGTTACAGAAGTTACTTGAGTGCTGGATTTTAAATTAGTGTAACTTTTTTTTTCCTCTTCTGCTCTTCGTGTTTTGACGCTTTTTGTTTAAACTCAGCACACTCGTCCTCTAATCATCAACAGTTTCAAAGGGAAACATCTGTAACTTGTCTGAACACGCAGGTTTTATTGAATTTAACTCAAATGATTTATTGAATACGAGACACAAGACAAAAACATGTTTGTCAATATGAAAGCACGTGTTTGTTTGGTAATTATCTTAAAGGTCAGATCGGTTTTGTGTCTTGCATTTGTTTGTATTTCATCATCTGAAATGAAATGAAGAGTTTGAGGTGGGAAACATAAAAAAAATAAAGATTTGAAATGTGATCTTCTAATTTTATAAAATACAGCCAGGGGGGAAGATTTCTATCCTTTACGTGGAAAACAAAGGCCAGGCTCAACTGAAAAAAATCAAGAAAATTAACGATACTTTGAAACATTCAGCACCAGGTAGCGCTTGGTGACAGAGAGTCTGAATCTAGTGAAGTCAACCAGCTCGCCCACTTACTGCAACTGATAATTGTTCCTCACGTCAGCGATCGCATCAGTGAGGCAGAACACTGAGACCATGCGCGGTGATCGACCGATCCCAGACAGATGAGTTTTATATGTTGCACGGCTGAAACTGAATCATCGGATCTGGAGAAGAATCTAGAGCTGCCACATCCTCACCATATTGATGTAACCGTACACGGGTGTGCAAGAGGATCAATGTCTTGCGTGAAATTGCTGCAACGTACAAAAAAGGAGGTTAAATGTGAAAGCAGAGCACGAAACAAGACTTATCCATCTATCAGCGTCTTTAGTGGATACATGCAGAAATCTAAACAGACATTTTTCCTCCACATAACCAAGGAAACACGACTGAACACCATGAATGACCTCTGCAGCCTGCGAATGATTGATGGAGCTGCACTCCCATCACGTCAGACAGAGAGGAGGAAGAGGACAGGGGCTTGTTGCTTCAACTTAAGACTAATTTAAACTCGTTAACTCATTAGAGAATATGAGACCGTCATGGGGGTCAAACAGTCACATGGAACTAGCCATAGAAGGTATACAGCTGATATTGTTGCTTTCAGGAAGATTTGTCGACGGTGTACTTGTCTTTGAGGTTGCTGACATGTTAGCACACGGGTACAGGACCTGACACTGGATGGAAAACAAGTGAAAAACGAAATAACTTCTACGAGCAAGTGGAAACAGTTTCTCACATCCAGCAGCTTCAGCAGATCTGGAGTCATTTCAAAGACAACTGTTGTGAGTGTTGTAAGTCACATCACTGTCACTATTGAAATGTTGACAGGTTTTAAAGTCTATTACTCATCCAAATGAAGGAGTTTAGGTCTTCAGAAGTCTTAAGGTGAGCTAACGTTAGCGGCTGCTCTTGTTGCAGCACTTCAAGCTCGGCCAAAGAGCATTAAAGAAATGTACATTTTTACTGTTAAGTTGTTTTATTCTGTGTTTGAAGACGTTTGAATTGTCCAATTCGTTTGAAAGTGTGATAGAAAGCTTTAGCACATGTTTATGAATTTAGAAGTTCATGAAATAATTGTCTCTTCAGAATCCTGTCATTTCATGATCAAGTTCTGTTTTGTTGCAAATTTTGAAATGGTTGAAAAAGATCCCGATTAAATTCATTGTGTATTGCACAGCTCTGTTTAAACATGCAACAAATCAGGAAGCAGCACAGTAAATATTTACAGATTAGCAGTTCGAGCTCACACGTGATCGGAGGCAGAGGTCGACCTGAGTTCAACATCCGCCCGCTGCAGCGTCACATTATCAGATCAGTGCAAGAGAAATGTCATCCTCCAGTTCAGCAGAGGCCTGTTCTTTGTTTTATTACTATTAATGCAATGAAAGCAGCAAAATGGACACAAGGCGTCCGTTCACTATCCTGTCACATCTACGCTCAAGCAGACAACCTTGACCTGCCATGTGTGCGAGCAGAGTTTAGACATGCCAGCAGGGATCAAAACACGGGGCAGCTGCTGGATGCAACAATAAAGCAGGTCACATTTCACATTCCTGCCTGTTGGACAACTTCTCTTCCTCAATATGGTACATATAACAAAAGCATGCTTACGTCTGTTTTCAAGCCTAAATCAAACAACACTGATTTAGATATTTGATTAGACTACAGCAGGAACATTTTACATTTAAAGGTGTAGATTTGCACTTTTAGCCATCTTTGGAATAATAAATGATTGATTACAATCAAGCCAATCAAAGCTGTGAGTCAATTATTCTGTGAGATGATGGACACAAAGCAAACTATTTCAATCACTGATCCGGCTTTCTGTCAGTATATAAAGTATATAAATGTCATATATTTGGTGGTTTCAGCTCCTTCAATGTGAGAATAATGATGTTTTTCAAACTTACAATGTAGTTATCTGGATCTATGGAAGCAGAACTTTGGCCTCAGAAAATGGAAACGTTACTCTTCATGCTTTTTGGAAGTTTTAAGGTCAGAAAACTAAACCATTCTTGCAGAATAAATCAACAGGGACATTAAGTTATTTGCTGCTCCAGTTTCAATCGAGTAAAAAGTTTAACCTTGTTTGATTTCACAGGTTCATATCTTTGTAGGCTGAAAGGAGTTGTTGGTGTCTGGATAAGCAGCTAATGTATCATTCTGTCCCTCTCTGTGTATCTGTTTGTATTTTCAAGCTTAGAATAAAAATCTCAACACAATCTTGGCATGTTGCAGTGAAATAGAAAACTCTGGGCTGAGTGCCCTGTCTTTATCACAGGTTTCTTGGTGTCATCTTGAGCTTTGCCAACTCTACCAGTATTTCAGAAAGTATTCCAGCTCAAGAAGGAAGCATTTCTTTCCCCACTTCAGACAATAATGAGCAAGTGGAAAAATCACCTGCTGTGCTTCGCTTACACACACGGCACCTGGCTTAGCCTCCAACCAACCCAAAGTATTACCGTATTTGAGACACCTTTTCATGCACAGAAGCTGGGTTGTTCACTTCCAAACAGCAGAGTCAAACCAGTTTGCAAAGTTGCACAATCACGTTAACAATCCTTCAGCAAGACTTTGCATTCTGAAAGAAACGTAAAACTCTTCTTAATAGACAACAATAAGAGGAAGTAGAGCCCGTAGGTGTGATTTTTCTCCTCTTTTGCAATGAAATCTTTCAAAATGCCCGTATCTCCTGTCAACTACAATCCACTTCAACCAGCAGATAAAACAAAGTGAAACTAATGCTGCGTGTTGTTATCAGATCTGACATGTTGTTAATCATAGCCCTGCAATAAAGGGAAGTTAAGAGCACTGAGTTACTATTTGTCACCTTCCTGGTATGTGATGAAGTCAACATCATAGCAGATTTAGGTATTATGATACTTGAATTAGCTTCCCACCGGCATTCAGACTTTGTTTACCCCTGAGAGGAGGACCGCCTGCTCCGACAGCACCAGTCCAGTGTCATGTGATGCTACACCGTCTGATTTGGGGAGGTTGAACGGGTTCACTGAGGGCGTTAAGGTCCTCCAAAGATCACAAAGGAGCAACTCAATTATTTAAATAAGCGCTGAACCTGCTGGTGATTTTCAGGACTAACTGAAAAATGATGTGGTCTAAAAAAAATGATCAGCATAATTTCCAAGAGCTGAAAGTGAAGAATTAACTCGTCCGACCAACAAACAAACTCAAAAACATTTTATCACTATAATAAATTAAAGGAAAGCAGAGCATCATGACATTCAGGAAGCTAGAACCAGATAATGTCTCACAATCTAAGTCATAAAATTATGTAAACTTTTGTTTTTCAGGAAACTTTTGATGACAGCGCTTCCTAAATTGAATCATTTCTGATATAAAACAAACAGACGTTTGAACATAATGGCTTCAAAATGATTCCAACTTTTCACAGAGATGTTAGATTGCATTTCCTTACGGCTGCATTTCTGAAGTCAATAATACAACTCGACAGATCTGCTGGTAGAGCTGACTGCACATAAATGACTTTTTTAATCCTCCCACCTTGTTACTAACACCTGATCCGACTGCTTTCCTCCTTATTGTCACCTCACTGACTTCTTTCACATCATTGTGAATCATTAGACATGATGAATCTTAGACTAGTTCCCTTTTCTTGTTGAATTTTACCAATCCAGAGTTATAGAGAATGACTGGATGTGCTGCAAAAATAAAAGTTAACCACAACTACAAATAGTTTACCCACTTCCTTCTGTCTAACCCCAATTTTCCAATAACCTTTGAGCACAAAATATTTCTGTATAATTGACCTATATTGTTTGTGACCTCATATAATAAAAGATAGAAGCTTTCAAAGACATACTTTATATTGTTTTCTAAACTTAATTGAGGATATTTTATCTTTTTGTATTCCCAGTTATGGTTTTAGACATGTAAATTATTACATAATAGTCCATATCAGAAGAGAACAGTAAGGTAAAAACATTCCTCCTCCCACATTCCCATGTTTCTCTTCATTCTCCAATGAAATCCTGCTGAAAGAGACCAATTTGTACCGGTAGGAGCCCCTCAGGGACCCCTTGAGGTCCCCATGCCCCGTCTTGAACTCACTGTACAATGGGTGTCAGTGCACATCTACGTGCACACATGGAGAATGCACAGAAAAAGCAACAATAATGAGGCGTAACGGCAGAGTGGGGTTTCCCCCCTTCTTCCCACAGGCTTGCATTGCATTGCATTTCTTTGCATTCTCCACATGCAACAAACCAGCTATGCATTGCCCTCTGCAGAGGTAACAATAAGCATTGAATTGAATTCTCCACAGCTGACAATAAACCATGCATAACCCCCCCTCCACACCCACCTGAAGAGCAGGAGATGAGGAAAACGGCGAAGGCCAGTTTGGTGGCGTCTCCCATTTTCCATCCGAATCTGATCCTCTGACTGGAAAGAGAATTATAAAAAAAACAAACAAACAAAAAAACAACAAAATCTAAAAAAAGTCAAAGAGTCAAATTAAATGTCTTGTTGCTCCAGAGAGCACTGTCTTTGCAAAAAGGACATTTTAAAATGTCAAAATCGAGCCTGAATCCAGAGTATCCCAGGTAATGCTAGCCTTACTAGTCCAAAAAAGGAGAAGCGAAGAAGAGGAGGGTGATGATGAAGAAGATGGTGGTATTTCCAGGTTTACACACAAACACTTGACTTCTTGGCACCCGAGCCGGAGCTGTCATTCACTTGCCAGGTTTGCAGCATTGTTATGAACCTACGTGTTCACCTGTGCCTGGAGGTGTTTAACCTGCTCTTTTCAAACCAGCGGAGAGGACAGCCGAGCCACAGCCGGGCAGGGCTAACATCCATCGGACTGGAAATCAAGCGCACTCCGCCGTCCTCCAATCAAACGTATCCTCGGAAAAAGCCCCTTTGCATAGCTTTAAAACGTCAAAAAGGCGAAGCGTTTAGCATCCACAGTCGCCTACAGTGGAAAGTGGGTGCCCAAGTCTTGTATTTATGTTGTTATATTCCGCGTGGAAGCTTTAGTTTCTTCCCGACTCTCCGGCGGGGCTGCCCGGCTACAACCACAGCTCCGTCCGCTCCGACTGGGAAACAAGCGAGGTTCCCTCCGGTCTCCGTTCAGCCTCCAAAGTAAGCCAAACAGCCTTCTTCCGTCGAAATAACTTCTACGAGCAAGTGGAAACAGTATCATATGTTAGCAATAACCTCTAAAGCTGCTGTTAATCCGTGTAGCTCAAGCAGCTATCGAGTTTAGGACGAGCTGGTTTTTCCCAAGTCCGTCTCCTTCTCGCCTCCTCTGGTCGGGACAATTCAAGATGGCGTCACTGTCGAGCGTCAAGCCAGCCGAAACGCTAAACGCGTAACTGCAGTTTCCGGTGAGGTGTTTCAAAAATAAAACTTTGCAAGAAGGGTCCATCGCTGAAGGTACGTTGCATTTAATTATGTTTTATAAATAAGAAAAAGAGTATATCATTACGCAAGTGTTTTCCAATGGGCTTCAATTGTGTTCACTGTTTATAAGAGTAATTATCAAGATGACATGGGACTTATTTAAATATTTGTATGAGCTTTCACACATTTCAATAAAAATCCAGTACAACCATTAATGAACATTTATATGTTCATTAATTATTGCATTTATTGAATTGAGAAAGTGCATGTGCTGGAATCCGCACAATAGCTTAATACCATCTCTAGTCCTAAGGCAGGTACTTACATAAAATAGAACAATTATAAACTAGGCTAAAGTACAATATTCTTCGGAGTTGTAACTATCTTTGTTAGATTTGAAAATAAATAAATCGATGTATCCCGAAAAATACATAATTGACTAAAAATCCCGTACTGATTTTATTGTTTCCATTAATTGGATTTGCAGTGCATCTACATTTCACTTGATAATGACATTCATGCAATGATATGATATGCTGGCCAGGCTAATGGTAACATTTTATTGCATTTATTAATGCAATTCATTAATTTTTAACTCTTTAAAAATGTTCAATTTGCTGCAGTTTGTGTTGAGACATTTTTAGTTTGCATCGGCAGTGTTTTATTTTTATTTTGAAAGCGGAATCGTACTCTTCCGGTTGTATTTTGGTGAACGTTCTCTAGCTTGATGAAACTACTTTACGAGTTAGGGATTGTTTTTAATTCGGGAGGAGTGCTCGTTTTTATTATGGCGTGTGCCTTTGAGGAAAAAATGTGGGGCGGTTTAAGTCAGACTGTCATCTTCCGAAAATTACAAGTAAATAACTGGATCCAATGTTTTCCAGCTTTTGTTCAAGATAAATCCGTACATAAAAATCTACAGTCTGTTACTCTCCGTTAACATTTTACATTGTGTCATGAAGAATATTTGCATCTTTCAATGTAAATATACAGTAAATGCAGAAAACACTTATGTCAGTATATCAAATACTGATCTTTGACGAGGTTCAAACCATAAAATGTATCCTGTTTTAAAAAGGCAGCATACTCATAACATATAGCCTGTCACTGTATGTAGGTCACCACATATTGCACCTACATATAGCACCATGCTGCAGTATGTACTATACTGTCACATATCACCTTTCAACATGTGTTGGGTGCTCACTAATAAATGCTGAGGATACCATGAAGTACAGATATAGGCTTGGCCTGTTCCCAAATCTTCGTGACACTAATCTCTCTAATAGCCTGGAGCAGATCTCCAACCATAAGCGCTGCTAAACGATTAGGTGGTCAAAGGTCTCAGGGGATTTCTCTGCCAAGCTGGAAGCTGAGTCACCTGTTCGATATTTGAGCGTTTGGCTTTCATCCTCAGCAAAACACACAATCCTGAACGTAGCTTAAGGGTTGGCACTTGAGGCCCTTGGTGAGGGGTTCGATTCCTGTAAAGAGATCATTTCTCGAAACTTGATTTTGATCTTTCACCACCATCAAGCTCTCTGGAAAAATCCCATCACTGTCCTGGAAGTGTTTGCAATTTTCCCTCAGGTTACTCACTGGCAAATACACGAAGCATGAATCAAAAAACTTGGACCCTCGTGGTTTACCAAATCAGTGTTTAATCAGATTACCTTTCATTGTTACATTTCTTTGTCTTGCGTCACAAACAATTAGCAAATTGAATTACAGGAATTTAAAGTGAACCTCCCACGGCCTCTTGATTTAATTAAAGTTGCATGATCAACATAATTCACCTGCAAAATGACCCCAAAGCATCAGGATTTTAGTAATCAGGGATCTGACTTCATTATATTTTTGTTTGATAGAAGAGACCCTTTTTATTACCGTCGGGAAGCTATAAATAAAAGTTATAAATCAGTGTTGTAACTGTGAGACAGCACACAAACAGCTGTTACTCATACTTTTGTTTTTGTAAAGACCTTCACTGTCAAATATCGTAGCACAAGGAGACTTCAGGGAATGTCATTGTGTGTTTTTCTCAAATTAGAAGTGCAATATGTCAGAAAATAAGTATTTTACAGGAAAAGAAGAAGCCAAAATCCAAATCTGATTATTAAACGAGCTATTATACGTGCAGTAACTGTTTGTATTTTTCATGTGATATAAAGAGCAGTTAAATGTGTCAATAGATCAAGTAAAATGTACATAACTTAATACATTATGCAATAAAAAGCCGATATCAGTCCCTTTAGATTGACAACATGTATTATTAGATCTTAAATACCATTTGGATTATAGTTAAAATGTATGGAATGTCATTTTTTGTTTTATAGGTTTTCTAAAAAAATATTTTTGCATTTTGGTTGATTTTTAATTCCAGTTTGCTTAGAGAAAAATACATTTTGTCAACTGTAACAGGTCATTGTTAGCGTCCTGTCTTGGTGAATCAGGGTTTGCAGCTTTGAGGATCAAAGCCTCAGTCAGTAGAGTAACTCTGTTAATACAAGCGAAACCTAAAGCTTTATTAGGACATAAAACTAGATACAGTCATGTCTTTCTCAGCCTCTGTGATGCATCTTCATGTCGTCACCCACTCCTCTTTGTCTGAGTTTTCTCCGAGGTCACAGATATGTTGTCATCACCAGTGAGTGACGCAGGTGAAGGTAGTTATCATTGTGTTTTTATAAACCATAGTGACGTCCTTTCCTAGTTTATACTTCTCTGTCAGGCGGATTATAGGTGCGGCCTGACATTTCTTGATTTAAAGTTGAATGAAAGATTTAATTCAAGCATTTAAAAAAAAAAAAAAAAAGAAGTTCAGATGCATTATGTTGTATCAAACAGCTTAAAATCACAGAGCTGACATCATTAACATGCAGGCATAAATCAGCAGTCATCTTAAGCAGCTCAAAGAACACACTTATATTTATTTTATCACCTTGATGCTGCACACAATCCTTTCTTAATTTACGAGCCTGGTTGATGATGTGTTTCAGTCCACTGGAGAAAATGGCACACTGCCTCATGTTTGAGGTGTTAAAGTTGCGGTTAAACTCAATGGATGTTTTTATTGATATGTGTCTGATTGTTAAAGACAAAGCTCATAAAGCACATTAATGAAAACTTAATCTGACACAAGTTTGTTTTTTGGTCTGTGTTAAATGTTGGAAAACAAAAGGATTAAATCTGGTTCCACCCTTAACCAAACCACTGTTTGTCTCAAAGGAAAGAGAGTCACCTCTTCAATATTTTACACGTTTTGATTCATATTTAATACTCAAAAGAACTTTAAACAATGACGAATTAGGACAAAGGTGCTAAGATGAACATCTAGGGGGACATCTAGCTAGGTCTCAATGCATTTGTTTGGTATTTGAGTTGAGGTATAAATAGGTGTTATAATGATGCACTGTATGCGAGCATGTACATGTCTGGGGAAAACAGATTAAAAAGAACAAAAGGCCGGCTTAGAAACATAAAAGGAAGATTAATACTACCGAGAAAAGAACAGAAGTGCTCTCAGAAGTCTTTTATGTTAAACAAAGTCCTTACACACTCCACTTCTCAGAATGTGGACATTAAAGGAGCCAGTATACTCTGTCAGACGTGCTTGTAGGATGGAGAATAAGCTTTGGAAACCCCTCCCCCCAACAGCTTCCAACATCAGATTAGTGGAAATGGGTCCTTAAAGACCCATTTCCACCAAACTCAGTGCAGTACCCCAGGAACAAGCACCTACACGTTCCTTAATTTATGGTCTGTTTTCGCATTTCCACAGCAAACAGTTATCTCAAAAGTAGACAGGATTAGAACTGGATGTAGTAGTACACTTTGAAACCAACAATCGAAGTTTAAACTCAATTCTTGTTGCCGTGAAGGCATCTGAGATTCTCTTTTGTTCCCTTTTTGCGCAAATATTTGTGCCGCTTTTCCTGTTAACAACCAAGAGCAAAAGGTAGAATGTCTTCCAGGAGAGACTGACTGACTGACAAAAGGGCCCTTTTTTTATTCAAGCAACATGCGTCTACCTTGACAGACAAATGAGTAGAAAAAAACCAAACAAAAAACAGGCACACATTAGTAAGCATCCAGCTATGATTCAGGGATGACTTGCATTACGCTCATGTGGAGATGCCAGGTTGGGTTGTGTGTGTGCTTGTCTTCCTTTGAGTGGGGAAGATCTCCAGTTCTGGTACTGGAGATTTACCGGCCTACTAATCCCATTACTCAACTATCAGATGCCAAATCCCCTCTAATGGCATTACACGTGCCAGAATTACGTATGATGATGCTCGCTAATGAGAGCTCAGCAGATATACCTTACTGGAACCAGTGGCCCTTGCTCCAGAGCATCCCCGTGGCTCTGCGGCTTAATGGACTCAGTATTGAGTGTCGAGGGAAGTCAAATTTATCGACAAAGTGCTTTTAACAAAAAGCAGGTTGCTGCAAAGTGCAGCGCAGAGCAACAAAGGATGTAAATACGTCTAAAACTGCACACACACGCTTCAAAACGTTAATGTTGAGGTTAGAGATGATGATGGTGATGATGATGATGTGTGAGTGCGATGAAGAGGGAAGCAGGGAAACACCGGCGTGAGTGGAGATGCAGTCATGAATGATAGATGGAAGGATGGAGTTTCCCAAACCTCAAATCAGGCGGTCGCTTCTCAAGAGGTCTTCAGTGGTGTTCCAAGGGGCTAAGATAAAAGTCTTTAAAAATATATATAAACTGTAATTAGTGGATGTGTGGTTCAGCTGGAATGAGTCAACACTGTCCAGAGGGACAATCAATAGTGGAACATAAAGCATTTTATTTGTATCATATCGTCCTTATCGTATCATATCTTATTGCGACACAACGCATCATATCACCTCTTATAGCATTGTATTTTTCTTTATCACATC